TGAAGGAGGAGAATCACTTGAACCCGGGAGGCGAAGGTTGCAGTAAGCCGAGATCGTGCCACTGCACTCCAGGCTGGGTGACACAGCTGTCGAAAGAAAGAGGAAAGAAAAGGAAAAAAGGAGGGCTCAGTGGGCTCAGGCCTTGGACCACCGGGCTTTCAACCACTCGGACCTGCTTGAAACGGATCAGGAAACAGCTGCCGAGGAAAAGTCCGGGTCGCGCAGGCCCCTGAGGGACGGTAACTGCACCCCAACCCCTACGGCTGAGGAGGTCACGTCCCTGGCTCGCACCTGACCCGCCGACTCCAGCCCCTGGGTTTGGCTTTGTTACTTTCCAGAGCTTGGGCTAGGGGCGGGGAGAAAAGATGGCTAGGTCTGTGCCCAGCCTCAGGAAGGCGCACCCGCGGAGGACACCCTGGAGAGAAGCCAGGGATTGAGGCCTGGATCTCGCGCAGAGGACGGGGATTAGGGCGGGGGCAGTCAGCCAGGATGCATTCACTATGACCTGGGGGAGAGCAGGACCTTTACAACTCAGGTCCCGAGACTGGCGACGCTTTAGAATCAGTAGAAGCCAATTAGATGGGATTGTCGCATGAACTATGAAGTCACCGAAAGGCCTAAAAGCGGGAATCCTGACACCAAAGGTGGAAGGGTATTTAATAACCTCCAACAACTGTTCTCAAACTCCTCAGCACTCCGAGGGTGAGGGATGTCTTTGCCAAGTGTTAATTTTTTTTTTTTTTTTTTAGACAGTCTGGATCTGTCACCCAGGCTGGAGTGCAGTGGCATGATCTCGGTTCACTGCAGCCTCCGCCTGTCGGGCTTACCTAACTGTCCTGCGTTAGCCTCCCAGGTAGCTGGGATTACAGGGCCTGCCACCACACCCAGCTAATTTTTGTATTTTTAGTATAGATGGGGTTTAACTATGTTGACCAGGCTGGTCTGGAACTCCTGACCTCAGGTGATCCGCCCACCTCAGCCTCCCAAAGTGCTGGGATTTACAGGCATGAGCCACTTCACCTGGCCCCCAAGTGCTTCTTTTTTGTTTGTTTGTTTGTTTTCGAGACGGGGAACATCGCTCTGTGTGCCAGCTGGAGTGCAATGGCGCGATCTCGGCTCACTGCAACCTCTGCCTCCAGGCTTCCAGCAATCCTCCTGCCTCGGCCTCCCAGGTAGCTGGGATTACAAGCGCGCATCACCAGCTAATTTTTGTATTTTTAGTAGAGACAGGATTTCACCATGTTGGCCAGGCTCGTCTGGAATTCCTGATCTCATGATCCTCCTGCCTCAGCCTCCCAAAGTGCTGTGATTACAGCCAACGTGCGGGCCTCAAGTGTCTTTTAAAGGCTCTTTTCAGCTTCTGTTGGCTGGAGAAAGAACCCCCTCCTCCTCCCAACATCTCCCCACCTCCTCATGAAAAGGCCTGGGGGCGGGGGAGGCCCTAAGGACAAATACCATCTTCAAAGCAGCATTCCCAGGTCCTCTGCCCCACCCCAGCTCTTGCCCAAAAATTTCAACAGATCTCATCTCCCAGCATGGAACAAGTGACAGTGAGTGCTAGAGAGGAGGCAAGTTAAAACTGCTGTCCAGGTTGGGCGCCGTGGCTCACACCTGTAAACCTAGCACTTTGGGAGGCTGAGGCAGGTGGATTGCCTGAGCTCAGGAGTTTGAGACCAGCCTGAGGAACATGGAAAACCGACATCTCTACTAAAGATACAAAAAATTAACCGGACATGGTGGCTTGCTCCTGTAATCCCAGCTACTGGGGAGGCTGAGACAGGAGAATGCTTGAACCCAGGAGGCAAAGGTTGCAGTGAGCCGAGATGGTGCCATTGCACTCCCGCCTAGGACAGAGTGAGACTCCATCTCAAAAAAACAAAAACAAAACAACAACAAAAAAAACTGCTCTCCGCAGGCAGATATTTTCTTTCCTTCCTTCCTTTCTTCCTTCCTCCCTTCCTCCCTCCCTCCCTCCCTCCTTCCTTCCTTCCTTCCTTTCTCACTGCAACCTCCACCTCCCAGGTTCAAGGCGATTCTCCTGCCTCAGCCTCCCTAGTAGCTGGGATTACAGGCATGTGCCACCATGCCCGGCTAACTTTATATTTTTAGTAGAGAGGGGGTTTCTTGGCTGGCATGGTGGCTCATGACTGTAATCCCAGCACTTTGGAAGGCTGAGGCGGGTGGATCACCTGAGGTCAGGAGTTCGAGACCAGCTTGGCCAACATGGTGAAACCTCATCTCTGAAAAAGAGGAGCCGGGCGCGATGGCTCACGCCTGTGATCCCAGCACTTTGGGAGGCCGAGGCGGGTGGATCACGAGGTCAAGAGATCGAGACCATCCTGGTCAACAAGGTGAAACCCCGTCTCTACTAAAACTACAAAAAATTAGCTGGGCATGGTGGTGCGTGCCTGTAATCCCAGCTACTCAGGAGGCTGAGGCAGGAGAATTGCCTGAACCCAGGAGGCGGAGGTTGCGGTGAGCCGAGATCGCGCCATTGCACTCCAGCCTGGGTAACAAGAGCGAAACTCCGTCTCAAAAAAAAAATAAATAAATAAAAAATAAAAAAAAATTTAAAAAAGGAAAAAAAAAAGAGGGTTTCTTCATGTTGATCAGCCTGGTTTTGAACTCCTGACTTCAGGTTATTGCCTACCCCGGCTTCCCAAAGTGCTGGGATTACAGATATGAGCCACCATGCTGGGCCTAGAAGGATATTTTCCTAAGGAAAAGGTGGATCCACAGAGAGGAATGGTGCACCTCCACTCTTGGGGATTTCAGCTAGGTTCTGCCTGGGTGGGATCTCCCCAGAGCCTTCCTTCCCTCAGCTGGGTGGTGGGGAGGGGTATGTGGGGTTGTGAGGGGAAGCACAAACCACTGACTTCTGCTAGGGCCCACCCTGCCCACTCATGGGAAATAAAGACAATGGCTTAGCCTAAAAGATTTCCAGGGACTCTGGAACTTAATATTGAAAACAGTTGACAAACAGTTTAAAGAGGGATATTTGGCCGTATACTCCGAAGTGAACAGATGTTTTTGAATATCTTCTCCACCACGTGCCAAGCACCAAGCTAAGCTTTCATTCTCCTATCATCACAGCAACCCTGTGGAATAAGTATTGTTTTCCCCATTTTAGAATATGGAAACTGAAGTTCATAGCAATGAAATGACAAGTCCCAACAACAGCTATTGAATGACAGTCAGAATTTCAAGATAGGTCTTGACTTCAATCTTAGTAGAAGAATGAATTTAGATAATTAAGATGTATATGAAACATTTGTTAGCCTTTGTAGGGCATAGAAGGACAAATATGGACTCACCTTCAGATTTAGTAAGTAATGTTTCCCAAACTAGAATTTTTGGGGTACTGCCTCATGGTCTTCCCCGTATCTGTGAATTGCCCCGGGCCAGTTCTGCTTTCTGATGCTGGGGCTGGGCCTCTGCTTTCCAGCTGACACTCTAATAGGCTCCGCCAGTAGAGAACAGTGGCCAGAGACTATCAGGAGATAGCAAGGCTGCTGGAGGAAAGGGGACCTGCTCCTCCCCATGGGCTCCCTGTTTCCAGTTCTTGGGAGCATTGTTCCTGTCTCAATTCCTTAACCCAGCAGTATGGATTCCCTCCTGTTGCAGCGGTTAAATCCAGTTAGTGTTTTTTTTGCTACTCTTTTGCATTGGGCACCCCCTACCCCACCCCACCAGAGATACAAGGACAATGCCCCCTCCCCAGAAGTCCGTTCCAGACCCACAGAGCCCCTCTTCCAAACTCAGAAACACTAGCAGCTGCTAGCATTGCACCCTTCTCAGAGAGCTGTGTTTCTGCTCCAGGGCCGCTCTAAATTCCAAGATTTAATAATTCCAACCTCTTTAATTCTCCCAGCCCTGCGGATGGCACCCAATTCCAGCTGTTGCTACTTTTGTGAGACCTTAAAGTTCCCTTTTTACTCTTTCAATTACTAGTTAACAATTTTTTACCTACTGAACAATTCTTTTTTTTTTTTTTTTTTTTTTGAGACGGAGTTTCGCTC